CTGAGAAACGCTTCGTTCTTGCACAGCATTTTCTTGACTGTTTCTCTTCACCTACAACCTGCAGATGGTTGTGCTTGTAGTGAGGCGAAGGTCTGAGCCTAAGTAAAAATCTTACTTCCTTCGGGCGCATACAAAGGAAAAAGGAAAATTTGTGAATTGACGGAATTGGGGTGCAAATTACAACAGTCCTGAATCGCTCCCGAATTTAGGCCGTCAGTAGTGCATTGGCTGTCCGCAAATGAAGCTAATGATCTCCAGAGTTTGTGACAGCGCTTCGAGTTCTGGAAATGCGCACAAAGTTTCGGTGACATAAGGTTGCAACAAAATCGGAAAATTACGAAAAAACACGTTGACGTGAATTTGTGCTTCTGATACCAACACGGTAAAGGATTATTTCTTGCTACTATGAAGAAATTACTGGTGTTTTTTACCGCCTGAAATAACTCACTATATATTTTTTTCATATAACATTTTGAACTTCCAATGTTCCCCAACGTTTTATTTATTGTGATACTTTTCAATTCCCTCTTTTCATTAGAAAGAATGTTTAGAAACTCTTTAGAAATAAGTTAATTGGTTTGGAAAATATTAAAATGATCTGACACGGTGTACATGTGAAAGAAATTGTTATTATATATTCGTACAATTTTTCTGCTCAACGCTGGGGGCGGTTAATTTGCTTCCGAAAGGTTTGTGAGTACACGAAGAAAATGTGCATTGCATAATATACTATTTGTGCATCCATAAACGGTTTACACTTTGTTCCCTTAGCTCTGAATAATGTTCATTCCAAAGCGGAAGGGTGGGACGTGGCCGCGTGTTGCAGTCAAGAGCTCGTTTAAGAAAAAATATATTTTTATAATGTTGGTAAAAATGTCATGTATTCCATAATTATAGACGACGTTTTCATTACAAGTAAGCGTTCATAATAGGGCATCTTACGGCACAGGTTTAGACGCATTTGCGGTTTATGACCCGATTAGTCGGGTCATCACTCATTCAGCCAATCGCAGCGAGAGAATGGTGGGGTGGTATCGGTAAACCGAACAGCTGACCGCCGTTTTTCGAACAGATGCCAAAATCCCGTGACGTGACAATAAAGTTGTTTTCTAAAATTAACTTTGGCTCTCTCATCAGTCTATAATGCGGTGATCTGTGATAAAAAAACAGGATTATAATGTTGCTTTATTACTTTCCTACAAATCTGAAACCTCGCTCGTAACGTCACTCGTTTTCAAAACGTACTTACGCGATAAAGCCTAACATTATAAACTCATTGCATAGTGTACTATTTGTGTATCCATAAACGGTTTATTCAACTTGGTCCTGCGTGTCACGCGGGCGTGTGTTGCAGCCAAGAGCCCGGTGTACTCGCACGTGGCGGCGTCGCTCACGGGGCTCACCACCATCCGCGCGGCGCGCGCGCAGGAGCGCCTGCGCGACCAGTTCGACGAGCTGCAGGTGAGGGCCCCTTCACTCGGCGCTACTCAGCGGCGCTTCCGAGTGGCGCGTCTCCTCGCAAAGCATTGGTTTAAACGGGGGCATTTTCACGAGTGACGGAGTCGTGCTCGGTGGTGTACTCCCGCCACCAGCTGCACAGAAGCGTTTTCGCGCCACCGCTAGCAGAACACAGATCTAAATGGTTCACAAAAGACGCGCTTCTGAATCGCTCTTTGCCTGCTGCCGCCTCTGTCCGCCGCCTGAGTCCAAAGCGGTGTGACTCACGAAACCTTCCTACGTCGCGGTCGGGGCGGCCGGCGGTTTGTGAAGGGCTCTGCCGCTTCTCTGTCGCGTCACCGAGTGTCTTCGTGTGAAGGCATCGTAAGGTGGCAGTTACAGTGAATTTGGCTGAAATCTCGGTCGGTCGAGATTTGAAGCAAATATAATTTCTCGCCTGTCTACAGTCCAAAAGCCTTTCCTCAACGTATAAAAAGTCGTAAATTTCTATCATTCCCTTAGAGTAAACTGAATTAACCTATATTTACTAGGCTGTCCGGGTGATATCCCGAAGGTGCCGACGTTTCGGTCGCCATTCTGCGATCTTCCTCAGGGCGTAATGAATTAACCTCTTAACATAACTGAGTTAGCCAAATTTTTATTGTTTTTTGACTAAATAAATCTAAACATCTATAAATCTATTTCTGTGTTGTTTTGCAGGGGAACATACATGGATAAAAAACATCGGACTATTTAGACAATGATGCGAAATAGAACTTGCAAGGCTATTTTACCGATTATGTAGCTTAGTCTTCCTTATTGGATGATACTCGATCTAATCAAATGCCATTGCTCTACAGTCAAAAGAGGTCAATTAACCATGTCACGCCACCATAACATAAATTGGAAGTCGTTTGCTCATGTTTACATTAGACTCTTAGGCATCGATTCGAAGAAACAAACTTTAATCTCCACAACAAACAAAACTTCCGAATATTTGACGATTCTTCTTCACGATTTATTCCCTCATATTGAAAAAAATTCCTTGCTTTATGCGATTTCGGTTTCTGCTCTTCAGTTTCCATGTAACAGAAAAAAATTTCATTTTTCTGCTCTAAAGTCACAAGACTGGTATATTTTTTCGACGAACACAAGTTTATGTTTAATGCAGACCCCGCTTAATGCACGTTTTACTGTAGTGACGTATTTATAATAATAAATCATTATATTCATCGTGACTGCAGAAGTACAAGTGGGTTGGGGTGTATATACACTTACAGACTAGTTATTACGTATTTTCCGCGCAAGTTTTCTAGAGCCCTCATTCGCTAGATTCAAGAGGAGTGGCAACTTCGTTTTTTCGACGACATGGCTTTTAAATCAAATTTTCATCTCGTTTTTTCGATGCAAAATTGTTTCCATTACTTGAGAGCACACATTGATAATTCGTCAACAACCCTAGTTGCTATCATTGGTTGAATTTTGAATAAATGTTAGTAAGTTGGAGGTGGGTATTCCAAGGCTCGAGACAACGTGCACGTATAGCCGAAATAACCAAGTTGACCACTCCTCTTGAATCTAGCGAATGAGGGCTCTAGAAAACTTGCGCGGAAAATACGTAATAACTAGTCTGTAAGAGTATATACACTCGTCTTGCGCACGAGATGTGAGCGTGTGGCGGGACGCTGTCGCAGGACGAGAACACGGCGTGCTGGTACCTGTCGCTGGCGACCAGCTGCGCCTTCGGCTTCTGCCTGGACCTCTTCAGCCTGTGCTTCGTCTCCGCCGTCACCTTCAGCTTCCTCATCGCCGACGACGGTAGGCACAATGCCCGGCACTTGGCGCTTTCCATTTCGTATTAACAGAGACGCGACATCGACAACAAAATTAAAACATCAATGTTAATAAACATCGACTGAAATCCGTCTATGTTTTTTGAACATCGATGTTTTAAAGCTGGCGTACTAATCGTATTTAAGTGCACAACAAAATTTAATTTGAAAGTGGACGTGTATATTAATTTATAATAAAAATTTAACTGAAATCGATGTTAAAAAACGCCTCTCCGTGAGCGTCTTGGCTCAGGCGAGGGAAACTCTGTACGAAATAGGCTCCAACTCCGTCAACTTTGCCTCAAGGCGTAGATAAACACGCATGCGTTGTATACGTTCAGTGCGCCATTTGTCGGTTCTTGACGTGTGTCGCAGGCACGCAGGGCGGCTGGGTGGGGCTGGCGGTGTCGCAGGCGCTCATCCTGACGGGCATGGTGCAGCACGGCGTGCGCCTGTCGGCCGACGCCGCCGCGCAGATGACGGCGGTGGAGCGCGTGGCGCAGTTCGCGCGCCTCGAGCCAGAGCCGCCGCTCGAGACGGACCCCGGTGAGCGCCTCTGCCCGCCTCTCTCCCAAGCGAAACGGCTCTCAAGCTTTCGCTCACTTTGGACCCGCTTCTCTCTCTCTCTCTCTCTCTCTCTCTCTCTCTCTCTCTCTCTCTCT